AAGAATTATTGTGTGTTTGTACACACACGCACGCACGCACGCACACACACACACACACACACACGCACAAAGGCAGAGATCTCACACTTTGTTTCCCAGTGACGGACAGGTAGAAAGCTGGAGGAGGATGTGTGGATGAATCCTGCTCTCACCACAGCTTTAACCTTTCCATGCAGTCTGTCTTTCCTCACGGCACTCTGTCACACACTCCTATTGTTAGTCCCTTTTTCCTGTTTTGGAAATGATTATAGAAACCTGTTTTTGTACAAAGCTATCCCAAGACATGCTGCGAGGCATGAGAGAGAAGGAGGACATGTGAGGTAGAAGACAAAGGAGACGTGATAAATATGGATGACATAGAAAAGAAGAATAAACAATGGAAATAGGAACGGATAAATCAAACAGAAACATGTTAACATTTATAAACTGTTATTGATGTTGGGCCATTTATTTGCCTGTTAGCATGTCAATGACACTTTACATCAAGTAAGCAATTGGTCAATAGACACAAATATATGTTTTCATAAATAATTCCCAAAACATCCAACTTGTGATAGGTGTAATCACTGTTATAGGAAACAAAAAAATATGTATTGATTAATTAAATGAATAAATGTTGTCGATTTTTTGGGTTGTTTTGAACACTATGGGTAGAAATACTCCATAACAAGCAAAAAATACAACTTACTTTTACTGTATAAAGCTCTCACATAGCATACAGTTGCCAAATAGTTGTCTATTTATTTACACATCCGACTTTAAGAACGATAAAATGCACTTACAATTAAATGTTTAGCCATGTTTAGCTAGCAGGCTAACCAGAGTCTCTGTCTTGCCTCATGTCTAGAAAAGGCAATATATTTTCAAGAAAAATGTGAAGCTGCTATCCTCGTGTCTATTTTAGAAAACATCTCAGTACATGCAATCCTGCCACAGTCACACCATGTAAACCCAGTGCTCTACTTTTCCCACCTTCCCCCTGGAGAAATGTGATGCAATGATTTCCAAACTCACTCTGCAGGGAGATTTGAGGTGAAAAGTTACAGCAGCATTTCCTCCTGTTTGTTCAAATCTATTGCACTTATTCACTTCACGTTGCTTCCTCTTTCATTTGTCTCATGTGCGCCGCAGATACCCAGCACTGTGTCTTTCTGAAAGGCTGGGGAGAGCAGCTACGGTCCCAGCCTCTCTGCAGAGTCCTGTTCTCATTACATGGACTACCCGTGAGGGGGTATTTGGATATAACAGCACTTCCTTCCTCGCTCACAACTTTTTCTCTTCCTCTCAGTCCCATTGTCTCTCTCACTCACTGAGCACAGTAAGCTGTATAGATCTTCGCTGCTGAGTTTGCTCCACTGGACCGTTTAGAGACTAGATTCCTTCCACTGATGGCTTAGGAGAGACAAGGGCCACTTCGCCCACAATCAACGCTTTGGTGAAGCCTGAACATACAACAAAAGAACCATGCAAAATGATACAATACGTTAGGATAACTATACGGTACAGTTGCATGATACAATTCGATAGTACACAGTACGGTATGTTTTTTTAAATTGTTCTTTTATTGTAAGTAATTGGTCACAAATGCTTCACACAGGAGTTAGGAAAATAATTTAATTGATTTGGTAACATCATAAGCAGTTGTATGATACAATTCGATAGTAGGCTCCACGAAGTGTGCATGAAGCTGGCTGGAGACGTTTTAAGCAGACATTCTCAATTTCACAGTAGTATATGTCATTTGTAGTCATGTAGGGGAGGAAAGTACATGAGCCATGTGAAGTTAGAGAACACTTGAGAAACCCTGTACAATAGTTTGGAGAGAAAATCCTTGCAAGCATGGCTAAAGTGGCTCCAAGCTGAGCATCTAACCACAGGGAGCTCCATCTAGGAGAAAGGACTGTTGGCAGTGTGGGCATGCTTCAAAGGTAACCCAGCAAGGCCTCAAGGAACCTACTCTTTAGTGCCTTTCTTCCCTTTATTGTGTATCAATTTTTTTTGATACCACCCCTGCAACATTTTCCATTTCTCTGGCCTGCTGTCAGTGGTTGAAACTGCATGGGGCCATTACAACATTCTTGAGACGGTTTAATCGTCCTTCGCCAAGCTCACCATGAGTCCTTCCCTGCACCAGAGCCCAGTCAGGCCCTGTCAGTATCAAATACTTGCCTTTTCACCGTCTTTTATTCTCATCTTGCAGCAACATCAGCATTTCAGACTGAGAATCATATTTTGCACAAAAAAAACTCGGATTTCTGAAAAGTTTAAAGGGACATACAGAATCATAAAGAAATCACTTTTCCAGTGCACATATATTTGCATATTCTGAGGGCCTTGAAAAACCCTGATACTCTGAAATGAGACAACTATTACTATTATTATAAGAGCCAGGCGATTGAACGAAAAATAGCATCTGTTTTTAAAGTTGACATGGAAAACACCACCATCTTCCCATTGTTTTCTAATTGTCGTACAACCTTGTTTCCTCCATTGAACGTGGCATTTGTCTAATGTTATGTGAAGTACCCTTTAAGTGTTTCATTAATGTCTAATTAGCTTTTCATTACGAGAAGTCAACTGTGACTTTTCCATGCAATATTACAAGGAACACAAGGTTTAAAAATGGTAATGATTATTCGTTTTGGTTGGGCAGCAATAAGAGGCTCTTGCTTTTGTGCTGGAGAACATTGTATTATGAGAACATCAATGCAAAGAGTGGGTGTTGATCTTTGCAAATGTCATTCTCAGTTCCACAAGGCTCAAATTGGACTTGTAATTCACCCAACCCCCCGCCGCCTGTTTGCTTCCCTCTGCCCTGTAATATTAAACAGTACAACCTTATTTAATTTCCATACACGGCTCGTCCTTGGCAAAAGTAGCACGGAGCAGAGAAATTATAATTTCACAACGTATCATAGAGCATTATGTGTTATGATTGCCACATGTTAACATGCTTATAAAACTCAGGAAAATGCTATTGCATCTCTTCATATCTGCTTTACATGCATTAATTAAGGGGGAACAGCAGCAGCAGTTTGCCTACTTATGCCATAATGAGGTGCAGTGCCAAGTATGAATAACAGGAGCTGGACCATACGCGGGCTAAATGAATATTGAACATAGCACAGACAATGGCTGTCTTAAAATGCGTGACTGGAGAGGTTTGGGCTGAAACAAAACAAAATGAAGGCTGAACAGAGAGACAATCAAACCGCCACATCTGGCAACCCCGATGTGAGTGTGTACCCCGCCACTGCAATTACAGCTCCATCACTTATGTAACCCTTCGCTGCCTGGATGTTTTGCAGATAATGAAGCTAATGCTCGCTCTCATTCAGAGATTGTAAACAAATATTTTGCCCACATGCCCCGACAAATCTGGGAACCTTCTTTCACCATCGACGATCAAATTATCAACTGATTCAATTCCTGGGCTTCTTCTTCTCAGTCCAGATCAGTTGCTATCCCGCTGATCACAAGCTGCTGGGCAATCTCATGTCCTCTTATCTCCAGCCCAGACGGTTGCATTAAAGGAAGGCCTAATTAGGATTCAGAGGGAATATCATTGCTCCTAAAAGACCGGATAAAAGAGGAGTTTTCCATCAATGCCAGAAGTTGCTGGAATTGAGTTTCGTCAAGAGGTTTTGGTTGTGCTTTTAAAAGCACAGGCTGTTGATGATTTCCACAAAGAAAGGTTTTTATTGTTTCAAGAAGTACTTAACTTTGATGGGCCCATTTACTGGGATTCAGTCCCCAGGTAGAGGACCTAGGTCCGAATCCGACCTGGGACCATTTCTGGTCTCGACCTTTCACCAATGTCACTCCGTTAATAAAGGCTAATCTGACCCAACAAAAGTTCTGTCTTCTTAATATATTCAGAGATAACACAGAAGGGTAAATGATCAAATGAAAGCCTGACATAAATAGCCCCAGTAGTGTCTCCAGGACACCATCAAAGCTCCGTTACATAGACCCCTGAAGGTC